AGCGCAAAACTACATACTAGTAATAAGATTAACGAAAAAATATTCCAGTATTTATACGATTCAGTCCAAAATAATCGAGAAAAAATTTGAATGTCTTCAAGTTGTTTAAAAATTCAACAAATGGTCGGGTTTAGTCTGAAGAACGATATGCCAGAGGCTTAACTAATGATCCACGGTCTGTTAATGCATGACTGTTTTGGCCAATTATTTCCAAAATAAAAAGGGCTCCTGTTCAATTAGATACAGTCCAAATGGTATTGACGGATAATAAGATGTTCTGTTTTTACATTTATCTTATTGTCTATATATGACAGCTGTATCTCCTTCAAATCAATGGTCTGCTATGTAGTATGAAAATATGAAACAATTAAATTCCGCTAATTGGGTAAATACACAATTTAATTTAAAGACATTTCGCTGTATGCGTTGACCATAAATTTATTATTAAAAAGAATTTTCAATTTTATAATAAGAGCTTGACGTTTCTTCTGCTTTTTTATGTCCACGATAAAGCGAGCAAACTCTCCAATTTCGTTTTCCGTTAGCCCTTTTGTGGCATTTTTCGTTGAGGAAAAAAGCTGTGTTGACTACTATTATAAAAACTGGGACAAAGGATGTCGGTTTTCCGTTGGAGATTGGTACAAAAGGGCTGGCTGCATAGGTGTTGAGGAAGTGGAAGGGCTCGTGCTCCGTCAAACACCGAAGGGTTAACCGAAGGGCCACACGTGGCGGACACACGCCTTTTCTGACCCACTTCCACCATCCTCGGTACACGTATCAATTATAAATATCTAAATCCACGTTTCCAGCCCGGCAAAAGGAACCCTTTTCTACCCTTATTTACGAGAAACCAGAAGCGTGCCCATTCTTACAACACACGCGTCTGCTTGGGTGGTGTTTTCTTCGGTGGTTTCTTAACCACAGAATAATTTATTAAATTATCAATAATCCATTTTTTGTCGAAAGAATATTGTAATATTTCAAGCAATTATTTAACCAAAATAATTCCATTCTGTTTACTAATGGAATACCAACAAACTTTATTTAGTTGTCTTTAAATTGGTCCTTTTCTCCTATTTTCCGCTTCTAAATAAGCCAACTGTAGCTTGAAGATACCTTGACTTTAGCAGAACATTATTTTCTTCTTCTGAAGTTCTTCTATTTCCAGGCAAAACCGAACCCTTGCGATTTGTTCGATCCTCGATATCTTTATTGTTTATGGTTGGACAACGTTACTTATTAAAGGTGGCGGTGTTGGTTGTTCTATGAGTAGATATACCAATTCATGTTGAACTGATCAATTTATTTTTGTCTCCTTTGCATAAATTCAATTGATCACAACTTTCAATCATGTCAACTTCAGCATGAAAGGCTATGGCTCATCTGCAGAATACTGCCCATCTTCTAGTTCCTTCGATATACCTACACATCGTACCTTCTTTGATGAAAGTTATTTTTCCTTATTTCCCACTCTCTTATTTTCTCACTGGTCCTTAGCGGAGTCCGAAATGTTGGAAAATTTTATTCATGTCGTTCCTTGGAACCGTGTGTATTGGCTGTGTTCTCATAATGGAGGTTCTTTCTCCCCTGTTATCTTTTAGTCTTCCCATGCATTATATGCGTATCCTCTGGTCTCGCAGTGGGACTTAAGACTACTAGGCATCGAGTTCATAAGGGATTGTATTTTGTCTTGTGAAAAAGAATTCTATTCTTCAACAAGAGCGATATGAAGCTGTCCAACACTGGAGAAGGCGAACGATAACAAACCTTTCTCCGTAACACGTCCCATAATCGTTCGTTAGGAATCATATCAAGAGAACAGTGCTGGCCAATTTACTGTGGTAATCCCTACATCCTCCATAGACGACAACTCGAGCTATATGCATTCGCGTATTGTATACTAAAATTATACTAAAACTGACTGACTTTGGTGGCTGTGACTCACGCATGGCACATGAAGGAAAGCCTTCTCCACGTTTTCTCCCGACACGGACACGGTCATCTAACTGTCACAAACCAAACCGGCACTCGTCTGTGAAGAGAACTCCCCCCCCCACAATTGTTAAAGTGTCCAAGAAAGATGCTGATTTACGAATAGTCGCCTTTCTACTCGATGTCTCTCCAATAGTAGAAAACCTGATATGAGACGTCTAGAAAATAGACTACATTCTTGGGGTATAAGAAAGAAAAGTGCTAAGAAAAATATTCAGCCCGAAGTGTGTAAACGGTGAATGGAAAGTACGCAAGGATGATGAAAAAAAGTAATATTTGGCGAGCCAGATAAAGTTTCCCAAATAAAGAAGGGAAGATTGAGATGGTCGGGTCACGTGATGAGGATGCCTTAAGATAGGCTTCCGAGGAAACTCCTCTATGGGCTCAAGAATACGAGGACGCCCTCAGCTTAGGGGGTTGGAGGATCTACGGCAGACGGGTGTAAGGAGTTGGCGCTTCAAGGCCGAAGACCGAACGAATGTGGAACCTTATTGAGGAGGTCCAGGTCCTTCTCTAAGGGCGATCGCACCGATTAATAAGTAAATAAGAGACCAGACTATTCTCACGAAACCTTCTGATGTCTGTTTTATAGCTCACCTTTACATTACGGTTTGTAGTTAAATGAGGTTCCCGTAGTGCGGTAAGGGCAATAAAACTATCGTCTCTAGACGTCGTACATCGCGGTTGACCATCTCTTCGATCTCGACTTCCGTTGGCCCCAAACCGCTGCAGACCATCGTGAATGGCTGAGCGCGGCACACCCAGGACTTGGAATACATAACGCTTCGTCCGTCGTGGACCAAAGCATCTGCCCGAGCTAGATCTTCTCGATTTAAAACCATGCTTTTAAGAAAAAAATTAATTATTAATTTTTTACTCAAATTTATTTTTATAAAAAAAAAACATTTAAGAAACCGATTAACTAACTCGACAAGTTCGTTCTGGAAAGGATAAACTGAACTGCGTTTCCTTATTTTTTATATAAAGAGTGTAAAAGCATTAGTATAAAGTTTTAAAAAAAGTTATTAATGTTGTGTTTAAGTTTTTAGCCAATTTTTAATCTTTATACCTACTTATTATAAAAAATTAACTAATAAATACAAGTATTTGGGTTTGTGTCGTTGAAGGTATATAGTAAATGGAGTTTACTCGATGTTAAAAAGTATCTGTATCTGGAGAATCTAGTTTTAGCCTCGAAGACTACGACATTAAGTTAGAAATAAAGAAAGAAATTCATCTATTTATAATGCGTTTTTTCCACTTCCAACAAATCCGTACCATGTTTTAAATATTTTTGCTGGAACTTATTCTTAGAACGTAAACCGCACGATTATAGAAGATATACATCAGTTATAAAATGCAATCACTCATTCAGATTGCCCGGAAGGGTGCGTTTCAGTAAGTTTCTATTTGCTTTAGCTGTCTGCAGAGTGCAAATGAACCAACACTTATCTGATGTTTGGTCTTTGTTCTGTCTGCTCTTGACGTTTGTTTCTGTCCCAGCTATCATTGTAATAGTATTTATAAATTGGCAGATTATCACTACTGGTCAAACAGCTATTAAACCAGTCACGTCCATCTGTCCTGCTCCAAATATAGCAAGAAAATCATAACAATCAGAATAGAATGATAGAGTAGAGTGGAAAGTAATGAAATATCTGAAATTCCTTTATACCCCTTAAATTTTCAGAAAATTCTACATGAAATTAAAAATAATTATAATAAATAACAACTTTATTATAGTTCGTTACCACCATATTTTTTAAATTTAATTTTGAAAATACTCCACTACTGGCGCTTTGACTCTAGAACTACTCACAAGCGATCTATTGAGAAATTGACAAACCAACACCTAAAGAAATAAAAACTGAAAACTATAAGCAATAACATTCAAATTCTCTTCTAACTATTGAATTATTAATTTTTTTAAATTATGCCATATTATTTTTAGTGCAATATGCATATAGTGTACATGGCGGAAATAAAAAACAAGAAAATATTAGGTAAACCAATATAACATTAACAATATTTTCATTTTCAGCTTTTCTGCTATTTTCCTCTGCCTCGCTTGTTAAATCAGTTCTTGAATAACTTTTCAAATAATAGTTCCATAAAATAATTATTTTCAAATATTTTGGAAAAAATAGCAGAAGAGATGTCCTACTGTTGAGCTTAATTAATCACTGACAAGCTGTGTTACCCTGTGGTGTTACGATGGCAATAATTATCAGCTGGTGCGATCTGGTTTATTGGCTTATAGAAGAAATACACATAGTAAGCGATACAGTGTCAAATTACATATCACACCACTTGTATTACATGAAGATCGCTCCAGTGGGCACCCCGCCCTAAATTCCCTCATGACCTAGGACCCACCTGAGTATAAGGTTATTTGCAAGTGTTTTTGAGGTAGTCAGGCAATTCCAGACTGTTTTTAATTGATCTCCTAGTCTTTAAGAGTCTTTAGAGCTGCTTAGTGATCTGATACTATTTGTTGCAACCTTGAGATTTGTTATTTACTCCAAGCGCATATGTTTCTGTAGCTGAAAGATGGTTGTGGTTGAGCCAAGGGCCATGGTGGTCATAGTTAAGCCACTATCTACATCCATTGCAAATTTGTTTACAGTTAAACATTAATTTTTATGAACAATTTAATTGTTTTGGTTTTATTTGTAGTACATTGAATTGGGTTTGTGTTTGATGTGGTGATTCACTGGACAATTACACAAAAAGTGATGCAATGTATTTTAAAATTTGGAACCAAGGACACTGGTGGCTGAAACAACTATGGCGAAGAAACGGAAATCCTAGTTTCAAAACTTACTAGCCCTGATTTTGCACTTAAGCAATTCCAAATGGGCTTTAATCAAAACCACCGGAACACAATAGATTTGGAAATAAAAATGATAATAGTTAATTTTTTACTTTAAAAATTCTAAACATGAATGACTAAATTGATGACAAAAATCATGAGAAACAGAACGGCAGGCTTGAATAAAAACCATACATTCCTCTACAATTGACAAATTTATAATAGAACAGTATTTACAAAATAGACATAAAAAAAAGTGTTATTTTTTAATAACATGTCCAAGGTCATATTTTCCTCTTACACACCGAATTTTAACACCGGGGACATCCTGAAGCCTGCCAACTTTGACAAGGACAATATTGTGTTCCTGAAGGTTGTGCCCGATCCCTGGGATATAGGCGACCATCTCTTTGCCGTTGCTGAGGCGAACAAGGACGCACTTACGATTCGCCGAGTTTGGTTTTTTTGGCTTCTTTATCAATGTCTTGAGGACGACGCCCTTGGCGAACGGTTTCCCATCCAAGGGGTTTTTGTTAGGCCGGTTTTTAAAGTGAGGTCCTGTTTTGTGCATTTGCAGAAGTGTCGCCATCTGTCGGTTAAGAGCTAGAATACCAAAGTTTTTGAAGAAAGTGTGCAAATTTCCAAATATAAAATGAGACATTCTGACTACCTCAAAACACTATTGCAGATGACATTTCAATTAAATTATGAATTTGGATTTACTCGCTGTAATAGTGCGTAATAGCGCAAGTACTGGTAACTGGTCAGGCCCCATGTTCTGACATCAACAGTGGATATAAAGCGAATTCTACCCAAAATTGAGACCCTTCAATCAAACTCTTGTCCATTTTAAATAGTTTTTAACATCAAAGAATTGTTTTTAAATAATTTTATTAAAGGTTAGTTATGTTATAAAACTTTTATTTATAGGTTATAACACAATAAAATGTCATCCCCATTGAAAAATTTTTACAACATAACTGCACCCCAAGGAGCAAAACTGAAAAGGTCCACAAATACAACTTTTTGGGATTGCAATTTTAAAATAACTGTGTAGTTTAGTGACTTTTTCCTTTCTCTTCTCATATCTTATGAGAATGTTTTTTTTTTTTTTCTTGACTTTACCAATTAATTACAACTGAAGACACTGGAATATGAATTTATCTCATTTTTTCATTTTTACAAAATTGTATTTACCAGCTTTGGCCCAACGATACTGACATAATAAGAATACTCAAGATAATAATTTAAGTTGTTGGTTTTGGACCTCATTAGAGGGCCAATGGTGAAATATCAACGCAACTCTGTGCACAGGAGTTGATAAAGATGAACATGAAAGGTGCATGGAAATGGCATACTTTTAAACAGGCACGCAGTTATAAAGGCACTAAGTGTGTTTGCTTTTAGCTCCAAACTAGTTTGGGAATACCTAAATTGCTAATGGCCCTAGAAAAACACCACAAAGTTGTCTTGAGGTGGGTTAAAAAAAGTCTAATTCAAGCGAAGGTTTATCCCCTGCAGACCTTAAGAAGAAATCTCACAATTTAACAAGATAAACCTTAAATGTTGTGTAAACTGATGCACTTACCGCTCGAAATCTGTATCACTGCAAAACCAGTTGGAGAATGAAACTTTTCTTTTCAAGTATTTAACCTTAACACTTCATTTCTATAATGTAATGGGAATTAATTTCTATAAAGTATAAAGTTCCCAATAAATAAATGCTTTTGCTAATAATTTAAATTATCGCATTCACTGATATTTCATTTTACATGACCCACTTACTCAGGTAGAAAGAAAGGGTGGAAGCTTTATCATTTACGATCAATATTGGTTACCTATCGTGGCTGTTTTGGTCTGTCGGATGGCGAATCAAAATGATCGAAAAAAATGAAAGCTTACAATCGCCCACACACCAAAGAAAATAATCTCATAAGTTTTGCTACTCGAGTATTTTGTTAAAGATCTTAAAGAATAGGGTGGAAAGTGTACAAAAAACATCTGAATGATTTTCATCTTGTCTTCTGCAAGAAAGGTGTTTTGAGCTGAGCCCGAATGGTACGATTTTGGCTAAATTTTATGTATTTACCTTGAAAAGGGCTAAAAGATGGGATGAGGGCTGATACCGATGAGAACAACTGCCGGCAAATGAAGTTCATCTCCGTTCTACTGGGGATTTTCAAAAGAAAAATAAGAAAGTGATTTCAAAAAGAACACACCAACAGATTTACTTACAAATAACCCGAGAGAGATAAACCACAAGATTAAAAGCAGAATTAAGCAAGATTCCTACGATTTTATTTTATTATTAATTTATTATTGATAAAAGGTAACAGAAGAGAAGGTTATACCTCGGAATATCACGACGGTACTGGAAATTGACGGAATTTCATAAAAACTTACTAATCGTGAAAATATTTAATACATGCATTACAAAACAAGCAAAAAAAATTAAATGCCGTCTTACCTTTTTATTGTAAGCTTCGAGTAATAAAAGCTCGTGAAATGAGAACGAACCCTCTGGCGATTGGGGCAGACTTTTTTGAACTACCGCCCTCTGTCTTTATGCTCATCATTGGTGATATAGATTATTAAATTTTCAAAACAACATTAATTAAATTAATTAAAAAACCAGATCGAAAGAAAAAATCTTAAATAATAAAATATCCTCTGTTTTTTCGGAGAAGTGACATAACTCAAAAAAAAATTTACGGGAGAGACAGATGGAAATTCACATTTTTTGACTTATGCATTAAGTACACGCCATTAAAAACAAAATAATATATACGCCAATAAAAAATAGTCATGATTCATCAATATTGTCTTTCGTACTAAAGTATAAATGTTTAATGCGATAGCACAAATATATGTGCTATTAAATTCATTAATTTCGTGGTCCGCTTGACCAATTAATATATTATAATTAATTATGGTTTTTATCTCAACTAAAAACCTTCATTAATTATAATATATGTGCTATGCAGCACAGGAGATTTCAATCGCTGGAAAAATTAAATTCATTCTTTCTTAAAAAAATTTACTCCTTGTCAAAAAAATACACCTTACTATTCAATTCAATGCACTCTGGTATGCTAAGAATGAGCTTAATTTCAGGTGTCTAAAAATTCGTGTGCACCTCGGAAATCGAACAATGTCATACAACAGTACTTCAATGCAAATTTTGACATTTTAAACGTAACTCCAATATCGTGAAATTTTCGGTAACATTATTCACTCTTGCCACAGTTTTGAACCGTCCAAAACAAAAATCACATGTTTTAAGTAAATTTAAGATTTAAAAAATCTTGGCAAAATGATTGCTTAGCAAAGACAAGGCGTCCAAGAGCAATAGGGGGCTTTCGTTGCTAAATGCCTTTTCCACGAAGGGTCGGGTGGTGAAGCCGGCAGCAACTCGAACAGAGGGGTCAAGCTAGAGGCAACGAAAATGTGCACAATTAAGAGCTTGAAGCAGCTGAACGAACTCTTGGTCGAAGCCGGTTCTAACTTCGTGCTCATCGACTTCTACGCCAACTGGTGCGGCCCGTGTAAAGTGATCGCTCCCAAGGTGGAACAGTTAATCCAGCAGCTCAGTAACCTGACCCTCGTCAAAGTGAACGTGGACGAGAGTGAGGAGATAGTCGAAGCGTTCGAAGTCGGCGCCCTACCTACCTTCGTGATGATCAGGGCGAAGAAGAGGCTGGAGACTTTCGTCGGCAGCGACTTCGACAAGCTCAAGGAGATGGTTTTGACAGTCGTAAAGAGGAAATCCACGGCTAATGCCGGCCGTGTAGTTCCGGGCCCTCCAATGTCGCCCCAACCGATGTGTGTTGACAACAAACAACAAATCCGGAGAATGGCTCATGGTTCGGAAGCCCTTCCTCCCGGCCAAGTAATCAACCAACCCTCGGCGACGAGGCTCAATCAGCAGCTCTCCGGAACGAGGATCGATCAGCAGCACTCTGGCATGAGGATTCATCAGCAGCCCTCCGGCACGAGGATCAATCAGCAGCCCTCCGGCACGAGGATCAATCAGCAGAATTCCGGCACGAGGATCCATCAGCAGCTCTCTGGCGGGAGGATCCATCAACAGTACTCCGGCACGAGGATCCAACAACAGAACTCCGGCACGAGGATCCATCAACAGCACTCCGGCGGGAGGATCAATCAACAGCACTCCGGCACGAGGATCCAACAACAGCACTCCGGCACGAGGATGGCTAACACTCATCGTGTTAGACCCGTTTCGTCCCAAGTGTTACCCGTGGAACCTCCGAAAGTCCGGACCCCTTTCCCGGGACCAAACACAAACAAAAAGAGAACTTAAAAATCTTCCATTTTGAAAAAGTACATTCTCGTCGGCGCGAATGCTGGACCAAAAAATAGATTGTACGAGAAAATATAAACATAAAACTTCTCATACAATAAAGTTGCTTCCTGTCTTTGAATATAATAGCTTTAGTTATAACGAAATATTATATATTTAAGTAAGACTGGTAAATTTGAGGCATTTTACCCGTGTTTTATATTAAATCCATGTTTTTGACGACAATGAAATGTGATCAGGGATGCCAAACCAAGCAAAGAACCATGAACCCAATAAAGGGATTAGAAATTGGTAGTCGTAATAGTCGTATTATTTATGTACATATTTAAAATGGGAGGTAGATCAAAATCTATTATATTATTAATGCATTTATCTCCATGTTCAATTTTACATTTTTTAATTTCAAATTTCTCAAACCAATTTAGTTATCTCCCTTTATTGAAACTATTAACACGTATTTAAATTTGAATTGAAATTACAGTTTGTTTCTTTTAGATGGTCCTTAAGTTCCAAAAATTTGCTCGATTTAGGCAAGTGTTCTTTTACTCTTGTTTTATTTCTTTACCGCTTTGTCCTATATATTTAATATCACAATCATTACAATTGAGTTGGTAAACCCCGCTTTTTGCCAAGTTGTCTACTTTGTCTTTAGGTTTTAAGAGGATGTTTTTAAGTGAGCCCGTACTTCTAAAAGCTATTCTAAAACCTTCTTGTTTAAAAATTTTACTTTTTCCGATAATTCACCAATGTATGGCAAACAACGGAAACCTAGTGATTCATTTATGGTGGGGTGGCTGAGTCCTATTGTTGATTCTTTTAAAGTTAATTTTTTTATTCTTTTAACTAGCAACCTATCAATAAATATTTCTAGATAACCATTCTTTTTGCTAAGGTTTTAATAGTTTCTAATTCTTTTTTACAGTTAGCAGGTGTTAATAGAAGTTTTAACATACGGTCTATGAGCCAAATGAAACCAGCAGCCTTTTGGGACCATGGGTGGGAAGAATCTGTTGGTATCATAGTGTCTGTAGTTGTGGGTTTTCTATATATGACTATTTCTATTAGATTGTTTATTATGGACAGTTTTAGGTCTAAAAAGTTAACAACCATCTTTGTTTATTTCCTTTATTTATATTACGGGTAGAGAATTAATTAATTGGAGGAATTCTTTGAGATCCTCTAATGTTCCCGACCATATGCATAAAATATTGTCTATATAGCGTTTCAAAAAATGAACAGATTTAATTAATTTGTTCTTTGATATGAAAAGATTTTTTTCAAAATTATCTATGAATATTTCGGCACAAAGTGGGGATAATGGAGATCCCCCTTTCATTTCATAAAATTTATTATTGAATTTACAATAATTAGATAGTAGGCATATATTTAAGACGTCTATTATATCATTTTTTTACAAATTCGTTAATAGAATTCTTGGTAAGTTTTTGCTTTATGAGTTTAGTACATTCTTGCCAAATGCCAAAAAAACCATTTTAAATAATGAATTACATAAATTGTACTCAAAGAGGTACAAAACGTTTTTATCAATACATTGTACACATTAGGCTTGCCTCATTATTGTCTCCAGTAGACTGGGACGAATTCGATTATGATATGCAATCAAAAGTTAAATTTATCATTGACAAAAAACAAAGTATATTAGATTAAAAAAATTAAAAACAAAGTACGGTACACTTAAAAATAAAAATACTCATAAATACCCAAAAACTCCAGTTAAATTTTACCCAAGGGTTATAAACTTAACAAACATTGTACTAAATAATGAAGAAAACAATTTATTAAACAAAGGCATAAAATTTGTACCTAAAACAAGAATTGGATACAAAAAAAAAAAAATACTATCCCTTGGTTCATCGGTAGATTGTTGTAACATAAATACAAATATAAAATATAAATGTGCTGAAATAATTAAACAAAACTTGGTAAATCTAAACGTCAAAAAATTAAATATCCTACGTACAATTGGGTCTATTGATAAAAAGTTAAAAAGTAACAACAACGTTATTTTAAAAGCCAATAAAGGAAATAGTATAGTTCAGGGGTGGCCAAGCTCCTTGATAGTCCGAGCCATTTTTCAAAATTTGAAATTTTTCGCGAACCGCAATTAAATACGTATTTAAGGCATTAAAAATTTTTTTTACAGAAATTATATTTACTGAAAACATAAATAAACGTACAAAATATGTGTATTGAATTTAAAAGTTAAACACATTTATTTTACTTCACTTGATAATTCTTTAAAATTTGGTGAATAATTGGTGACAGCACTTCTCAGTAATTCTTTGAGATGCTGGTTAGTTAATACTGATCGGTGTTTGGATTTCACGAATTTTAAAGTGGAATAAAATGATTCACATAAGTAAGTTGTTCCGAATATTGAAATAATTCGACAAGCAACCTTTCAGGATACTTCGATTCTGGTACAAATTTCCAAAATTCAGTAATCGACGTCGACTTTCCATATTTTAATTGTAGAGCTTGATCTTCTTGCATCTCTATTAATTCTAATTCTCCAGATGCTTTTTGGGTCATAATTATATTGGAAATGGAAAACTCACCTTGAATTATGTTAATTTCAAATGGATTCAGAAAAAAATCAAGAGACGATTTAAAATATTTCAAGTCTTGAAATGTATTTTGGAATTCCGTCAATATTCCTTCTAGCTTTTTTATATACTCGTTGAGTTTTTCTTGTTTAATATTGGAACAAATTTTTTTTAATTCGAAGAAAATTACAAAATGTTTTATTTTTAATGTCCTTTTGAAAAAGTTGTAATTTAGTTTGAAAACTAAATATACACTGTGAGAGGTCAGATATTATTTTATCTTTCCCCTGTAATTGTAAATTCAGTGTTTGCAAATGTTCCATGACATCAGTCAAAATAAAAAAGAAATTCTCCTCCCACTCATTACTAAAACTTCTATTTTCTTGCTCGTATTTTCTTTTTTTATTTTCGTTCTCTGTCGTCATATTTTTAAAAGAACTGGAAATGAATAAAGAAATTTAGAAAATACAAGTTTTGTGTTATTAAAACAATAACAACACGTGTTACATACTACGAAACAAATGTAGTTAACTTACCAAAAATTCCAGATTACAAATTATATCCGTAGCAAGAGTGATACAAATTGTTTCCTCCAGAGCACAATGTCAACTGTCCGTGGCAATGAAAGTTTACAAATTCAAAATCGGTCTGGAGTCGGTCGATTACGGACGATTCCGCCTCTGTTTATGTTCGTTCGCGCAGTTTTCGATGAGTCATATCGTTCTTAACAAGGAACGATAATAATTTTTAAAAATATAATAGCACAAAAATGAAAAGGAACTCGGGTACATTTATCGCGAGCCACAAATAATCCTTCAAAGAGTCGCAGGTTGCCCCCCCCCCTGGTATAGTTATCATTGAACATCAAAATTACGTTTCTAAAGTTGAGGATTTCCTAAATAATAACGAGTGTAAAGAAATACAAAAAGATTCCACCTTAAAATTAAAAAATAGAGTTCAAACAGCCATAAAAAATAGTGATTTTTTATTCTCAGATTACCAATATGCAGTTAAAAAACTAATACCAATGAACCCAAAGCCCCCAATGTTATACGGTACAGTCAAAATTCACAAGGATAACAAACCTGTAAGACCAGTAGTGTCCTTTTATAATTCCCCATGCCATAAACTTGCAAGTACAATTGACAAAATAATTAAAAATCACACCAATTTCTTGTAGTGTGATTTTTGTACATTTGGTATTAACAATTCTTTAGAACTAATAAAAGAATTAAATAACATCAATATTCCCAACAACTGTGTTTTAGTGTCATTTGACGTTACTAATTTATTCACAAATATACCCGTTCAAAAATGCACTAAACTCATAAAGCAAAAACTTACCGAGAATTCCATTAACGAAAATAATAAATTTTACGAAATGAAAGAGTTACCAATGGGGGTCTCCATTATTGCCACTTTGTGCCAAACTATCTTATTTAAAAAAGGATTGAACACCGCACTCACTCCGTCATTCATCATTTGTAGAAGCAAGGGTTCCACATTGACCTTCTGGCTTGAACTGTTCCTATTTCCTTCATACAATTGACACATTACTTCTCTTAAGAAATATTAGGTCATTGGTGCAATGCTTTTCCTTCGGCCTTTTCATAGGCTATTTCTTTATTGAATGGTTGCTTCACATTCAAAATTAATATGGGTGGCAGTCCTCTTTGTATAACCTATAATAAATACATCAAATATACCCATGTTGTGTAGGTTTTCTCAGATACCAGTGACTAGATATAGTCCTATCACTCCACTGAGTTTTACCCTCTCCAACTGTTGCCAGTGTTAGTCAGGATCTTTTGTCACAAGTTTTCTACCCGACATTCCTTTGAGTCATGGTGCCCAAAATATCATCAGGTTGTTTCATTTCTTGTTTCTCCAGGCTATGGACCTTTTGGATGCATTCATTGTCTATTTTGAGAAGTTACCTTTTCACATGCTAATGGTTTATCAGATCTTATGGACTTTTTTGTCAGTGTAACCTCTCTCCCCCATTGAGTGTGCCAATTTTAGCCAGGATTCATGTCCTTTTCTCATTTTGTTTTGTGTGAATCTACCTGAAGTGTTCTAGGCATATATACGGACAGATTCTCCTCTGTCCTGTTTGTCTGCTTTTTCTAGAACTCATGTGACTTGGCACCCAAGATATTGTCAGGTCTTTTCAAATTTTCTATGACACAAGTATTGATGGCTTGTATTTCAGCTTGAAGATGGGTCTTACTACTGATGTGTATAGCCAATATGCCATTTTTGGTTTTATTCCACCAAGATGTACCAAGGATTCTCTTGTGGCCATTAATGATAATTTACTTTTGGTTATGATGTGTTGTAGGTGAGGGTTCAAGGTTAATTTCTTGTCAATGATTATTCCTAGGTATTTAACCTCAAGTTTTCTTAATGTGCTAACTTGTCTTTGTTACCTCAGGTTGTCAAAGTATTAAAAGAACAAGAAAAAATATATAAACACATAACACTTCAACGCTTCGACGAACCCCTACACAAAGTTGTGGTGAAAACCTGGCAGACAAGGCCTCATTCAGCTTAATAAATTACTTTCACTTTCTAAATACCATACTCAATACTCTTTGTGGTGGGGTATACTTCATAGTAGAACAGTGATGAGTGCCCACTGCCACACATAGGTCAGCTGGGATGTTTTTTATCTTTGTATAACTGGCCGATGTGGTTTCTTAACCAAAGGCAAGTGACTACACATAAACATAGCATGAATAACCTCTAACTATGTGTTCTCTCTTAAGTAGGGTCACTTTCCTTCTCAATCTAACCTCTTAGATCAATCTTTATGTGCCGTAATTGGCAGAAGCCTTTATTCACTGATTTCGTTATAGGTGTTTGTTCTTCTTTGAAGGTTTAAAACAAATACAGATATACAAAAACAAACTTTATTTGAATAAAAACATTTTCCTTTTTTTTTAATGTTAAGTTAATTTATATTTTACTGTGGCCCCACAGCTTACTATTATAATACATATCATTATTTAGAGTTAATTCAACTACTTCGTGCTGGTTGTTTTCTTCTTTTCCATATTCTGGAACGACAAACAAAGGTGGTGGTGCTCTGATTTTTCTTCCGAACCTCCCGTCTTTTCTCTGCCAAAGGCCAGACCTGGGCCTGTTACCGAGTTCACGATTCTTCTGGGCACTCCCGATCGGTGTTTTTTGATGGTCCACATTAGAAAGCCGACCTTGATGAGAATGTTTTAAGTTTTAGCGTATTATTTTTTAAAACTATTGGTACTTACCAACAGTCGCCATGCATTCTTCTTTTAATGAGACCTCTAACTTGGACGGGAGACGAATTACAACCCTTTTATCTACCTTTCTCAATATCGTTGCAAACGATCCGGCCGAATGAACGTAAAAGCCACCTCTTCCAGGATGCATCTCAATGTTATGCACGATTGTTCCGAGCTGAAGTGCGCCCAAGGGATAGGCATCACCTTCATTTGCAAAAACTGCAAACAAAAAAATCTTTTTCAATGAATTAATTGAAAAGTAAATGTTTCATGAATTACCTGGGATTCTTGGTATGAACTGGGATGTCTTGATCAAATCGCCAGGTTTCATGTTTTCAGTGGCGAGGATGTACCTCGTTTTTTTACCTCCAGCAATCAAAGCAATGCGAGCAGTTCGGCAGTAGTCAATCATTATCTCCACAACTTTCTCTACGAGTGGTGGACCATCATCCTTGGGGCCGACTCGTTTCCAGTCTATCCAGTGGTATTTCCGTTTTATACCACCACCAATACCTTTGACAACTAGTCGCCCTAAGCAGTCACAATGAGAGCATTAAAATTTGAAAGTTTGAATGTCATAAAGACTCATAAAGAATGTACCGGGTCGTATATTAAATCCGTAGCACTTTCTATTGATAAATTCAATGAAAATTGTAGGTACTTGTAAACAAATTTAATCAAGAATATATGAACCACTTTGTTCCACTACCTGTTGCTATCTTCCATGTGATTTTTTAACTCTGTACTCTCAGAACATCTCAGGCTTTTGAGTAATGAACTCTTTGATATGTTTGGTGTAGTCCTCAAGTGAAGTAAAGTTTTTTACATTAATAGAGTTTTGCAGAGCACGGAAAAGTGAAAAAATAAAGGGGCAAATATGCCTTGGGTAGTAAAGAGATATGGGGCAAGCGCTATACTGGTGAAAAACATCCCTTTGAGATTAGCAATTGCCGTTTGTTTTCTAGAGTCTATTTAACCATAGTTTAAATTTACTCAGTAATTATTATTTTTCTGTCAATTTTCAGAGTAACTTATTTTCGTTTTAACTCCTTTGGGTTTTGTTTTATATAAGTTCGTTGTTACTGCGTTGATCACCATGACAAAGTTTATTTTTGTGTGAAAAAGTTAATAATTTTCTCTTTAATTTATGTATTATTTTAAGGGGACACTCCTGCTCCAGAATAAATTATTTGTTCTTCTTCTTTTTTGTTGGCAACTGCCTGTATATCCCAATGTGGCAAATACGAGTCGGACATCATAACCACTTTGCCCCTTTACATAGATCTGTGAAAAAGCAAATAATTTCTGCTTGCATAAAGTTTTCCAGATCAAGTTATTTACAGCAAAGCGAAAAGACTGGACAACCCTGATCTACTCCGCAGATAACGTAGACTTACAAAACACTCCTCCAAACATTAACAAATGTCATATACCCCTAATAAAAATTACATTTAATTATTGTTACCTGAAACTGGATCCCTTCCGCCCAAGTTGGTGACATTTAGGGGCTCTATCGTATATTCATCCGGGTACTGTACATTCCTACGGAACCTGCCGGCTCGAGGACCCACATTGCTCGGCAGGTCGACTTCCTTGGTCTTCTGCCTAAAAGGTGGAGAGATGGTCGCAGCTTGCACCTGCAGAAGGCAACCTCGCAGAAGGCTTCCCCTCGCAAAGGAAAACAACAAAGACATTTTTCCTTGAATCGTATTTACATTCGCTTTAACAGTTCTCGTTAGGGACAATCAGCTAAGCAAATTATTCGGATAAATACAAAATTAAAAATAACGAACGTGTTTAGGGGATGGTTATATTAGTGCTATAACCTTATTAGATTACTGATTAGGATTACATCTAGGAATAGGGATGTAGATAAACGAGGTGGCCACTAGGCCTTCTTTATCTCGACCTGAGTAAATCTATTGAAAATGAATAAATGAAAAGAATAACTTTATTTACAAAAAGAAAATACATTTATATACTTAAGAAAGTATAACCGAAATTAAAATAAAAGCAGTTCTTATACAGCATTGATTATTAAACTGTATGCTGTAGGTGGTGGTCCACTGAGAATCTAGTAGAACATAGTATGCACATACAAAGATAATAACAAAAATTAAATGAACAAAATTGAATTAGATTAAAACTGTTAGGACTTCTCAATATAAAATTAAAAATTAAACTGCTCCACGAGCTCTCTGCGATACTCCAGTTCACTCTTTGCACAGCCGACCAGGTCTGAGCAATCAGGGGAATTAAGTTTTGAGATCAAATGCGGTCTCAAAACTCTAATAGTTCCCAAAAAGAGAAATTGAAACTCCAAGAGAATTGGACACTCAGCTAAAAAATGGAAGAGGTCTTCCCTCATGTAGGAGTTACACAGTGTGCAGTGCTCAACCGAACCAAATCTCAGAGGGGAGAAATTAATATAGATAAGTTTGCACCTAAGTTTGAAGAACCAGAATTGATAGAGAATAGCCTTTGAATGTTGAAAAATGCCTTTGAATGATCACGTTCTTTGTAGAGCAGAAATCTATTAAGTATTAGATCAAAAAGCCAGTCTGGTACAATGTTCAAAATGACTAGAACGAATGGATGATTCAAAAGCCGAGAGAGAATCAGTCTTCATGATTGTTAAAGCAAAACAAATAGTTAATATTAAGAACTTGGCCTAGAGATTTGAGTGCCTTAAACCACAACAAATGAGCGTCAATTATTTCAACTGTCATAATTTTGGGGAGCCTGTAGTCAGGGTGAGAGTGTCATGCTTAGATATGAAAGGTGGAGTTTCAGGTACTCAACAAACAGCAGTTTCAACTTGAAAGACTAAGGTTTCCTTAATGTGTTTGTATCCTCATATTTTGGACAGAAGACAATTGAACCAGTTCTGTTATTTGTTTTGGATCTATCTGTACACCATATCTTTATATCTGATTTCCTCCTCAATTCCCCCCCCCTGTAGCTGTGTGTGTGTGTGTGTGTGGTCCCCATCTAATTTGACTGATTTTGGAGCCTAACCAAGCCTTTCTTCACTCCTTGCATAAATATTTTCAATGGAAGAATGTTGGGCTATGTGTTTTCATTGCACCTTTGATACGTAGGTTTGTCAGTCTTTGAACGTTGCCTAATGTTTGGATAGAATTTTTTTTCTTCTGAGCTCTGATCCCCCAGATTAGGATGCTTTGGGTCTCGTTACTATCATAAATAGCAAATCTTTGATTTTAGTCCCCAAGAAGATATTTGGTGTATTTGGAAATGATGTCAGGTTGGCCTGGAGTTCATATTTATGTACTTGTATAGATTGGATACCAACAAAGGTAGACAAAACCAGTAAAGTGATCAAATGTCGTTCAGTTCAACATATTTTCAGCACATGTTATGACATACTGAACATGCTGCAGTTTTGGTGTGGCTATCCCATGTTACTTTTTGATCTAGCCATAACTTAAGCACCAGTCTATATGTTTTATATATCTATTTGAATAAATTATTTGTTTTTCTGATCAATCTTCTGTAGCGTGAAGTTATACTGGAAATCCTTTGAAAACGTGTTTGAAGATATTCCTGTGTTAATTATCTGAAGTGTTTCTCTAAAATGTGACTCTAAGTAACGTTCCACTCAGTATTGTTTATATAATTTAATTATTGTTAATTATTAATTGAATGTCTGTTTATTCGCGGTTAGAATAACATCGATTTTAGTACTTCAATCGATCAATTTCGCAGTTGACAGCGTCAAGCACGCTTCGTGTAACCTACTAGCACGTGGTTAGTCTGTTCCTGACTCCTGCGGTCAGAACTAAGTTTTTCCCGACGATTCCTAGGTCGCCAAAATGGGGAAAAAGTCCAAAATCGGAAAACAGAGGAAGGACAAGTTCTACCAGTTGGCGAAGGAGACAGGTGAGGAAATTGATGTGATCGTCTTATTAGAGAAGAGGGCCGTCGACTGTTTTTCTTCCCTTTTCCAGGGTTTCGTTCCCGTGCGTCTTTCAAGCTGATCCAGCTCAACAGGAAGTTCGAATTTCTTCAGAAGTCCAGAGTCCTGCTGGACCTCTGCGCCGCTCCTGGAGGATGGATGCAGGTCGCCAAGCAGAACATGCCAGTTTCTAGTATCGTCATAGGTGAGTTTAAAGATTTTTTCGAATTACCTGAATAAATGCAAGACGAAGAAGTGAACATAACCAGACACAATGCAACATGACGTGACCCAACTTCACACGACTCCTCAAGCACACGCCATGCGACAAACACAGCGAATATCACAGTGGGAATAAGGATCAAGTTTTTGAGACACCAATTTGGTACATAAATAAAAGATAATTTTAAAACAATTGAAAGAACTTTCGTTTATGTCACAAAGAATATTAGTCATTACTAGGGCTGTGATTTATATGCAATAAAAACAGACAAATATGCACATATATATGTAAATATATTTGGTAAAAACTGCAATTTAATACAGAAAATATGCGAAAACTGCCATGAGAAAAAAATAAGGAAACATTAAATTAAAGCACATAATTGGAAAGAGAAACAGTGGCAAGAGGAACATCACATTGCTAATATTAAAAAAGAAAAACGCATTAAAAAAAGTTAAATTTAAAAAATCCTTCGTCTCAGCCATCGAGACCCAGATCGGTCCATTTTCGATGAAGTCTCTGATTTTATGGGGTGTTTCATTGTATATAAGATCCAGGTGAGATTTACTGAGGGTACTTTCGTGGGGAACGGTTTTCCCTGTGTATTTCTCAAAAAAACCTTGCATTCAGGGTGGCTTAGTTTATGGACGGGTATGTCAGCTCTAACTAAAGAACGACATAAATCGGTGTCGAAACCGGACTTTTCGGTCAGCTCTTGTGGCTGCTTGTGTCACAAAGGTTTGTTGAAACTTAGACTTCCTACCTTTGTTTTCCTTGTTTTTTGCTGTCTTTATGTGCTGTCCTACCAAACAACGTGTAGCTGTTGATACAGGTTTATCACAACAAACACAGTATAAAACATCTGCATAGTCCTTTAAAAGTTTCACTTGAAAACTCACTCATATTCTTTTGAACAAGATCTTTCGTCTTTGCTGTGATTTTCGGCATTTTAGGAGTCTTCAGTTCACAACCCACAAATGTGGGCCATACTCAGAGGAGTGTAGGACTACTAACCGGTCATTGGCATCTGAGAAAACATCTACACAACATGGTCATATACAACGATGATCCCATCTGCAGATTATGTAATGAGGAGGAGGAAACAGCCACCCATATCATCTTCGAATGTGAAGCAACAGCTCAATGGAGATTTAACCTAACATATGGAAAAAACTTAGGGAGTCAAATTACAGCAGCGACAGTCAATGACCTGATACTTCAAGGAGAAGGATTGAGTCTATCGCACTGAACTAAGGAACTAGGAAGGTACAATAAGCCAAAAGGCTGCAGTCCCTGGGTAGCACAAACCCCGCTTCCTAGTATCCAATTTACCATATCATACAACACACAAATAATGTTTCACGATGGAAAACGCATGAGAGACTTGGTAAAACTGAGAATTATGATGGTAGGGAAAGAAGAGAACTGAGGTTGTAATATTTCTATGAATCCAATTATACTATTCCAAGAGAACTTTTACAGTGGTACAAACACTATTCCTTTCTTTATTTATACCAAGAGAAGCTAAGGCGGCCGAAAGTGGTGGAGCAGCAACTGAACAAACACAAATTCGTTCATTATGTGGAAATGGAAAAATGGGAGACAATAGCTCTTTTTCGGAGAATTTTTCTTTTTGCCTGCTCTGAAACATTAAAATTTGACATGCCAAATACCGATATGCCGGATATGTAAAAAAAATATGCAGTTATAACCCACTTATGCAAAAATATGCATTTATGGCAATATATGCGCAAATATTCAAAATAAATATAGCTTAAATTGATTTCAAATGCTTCAAAACATATACAGTTTGTTAAAACTGGATATTTTAGTTAACCAGGAAAAATATGCAAATGCATATATTTCACAGCCCTAGTCATTACAAAATGGGTGATTTTTGGAACATACTAAAGAAAACACTTATAGCCAAGGGTTAACACAGCTATTTATTTTTTTTTATTAAGCTGTTTCAGCGAATGAAATACGTCCATAAATTGTATTGTCTAACTTGACAACACTGAACACCTCAAGGCATCTTCTTGCAGAGATGATTCAGGATGTTAAGGGAAACCTCCATCCAAAAGACCGAATGCCAATGGATGAGAGACTTCAACTGAAAGACTGAGAGGAGATCCTTGTATTGAATCCCAAGAAGAATACCTCATCTTGTTACGCACAGTTACTCTATTTAAGACATTACTCAAAGAAGAAGAAAAAAAAAAAAAAACGGGAAAACATGCTTTCACTTTTTATAAACTTACAAGCGGACCCGATAAAACAGGAATATCCACCACTGAAGGTGAAGAAGCAGTGCGCCTGATAAATCAAAACAGCGAAGATAGACAGACCAAACAATAAAGCCGGAGATTGTTAATTGTTAATTGTTCAGAAATCGTGAGATGCGGTCTGGTGTGATGTAGGTTTCATAAAAACATTTAGCTTTCCTTTTCCTATTTATCCCTGTCTAAATAATCCTGTAAGTATAATCTGGCCAAACCATTACCAACGTTTTTTCCCTTCGTCGGCTCTTTTCACCTTAAAGAAGCCAACGCCTTATACAAAAATGTCTTTTCTATACCGACATCCTTCCCCACCCCTTCAAAATCCAACATATATAAACATAAAACAGCAACATCTCACTGGCACTTTCAACACGATACGCAAGAATGGCACAATTACACAGAAGACAAACACTTTGAGTGAGTAGAAATACTTTAATTGAATAAAAAAAAAATATATATTTTGCATTGTATAAATTCACTTTTTTCCACATCCTACATGTATTTGTTAAATTAAAACAATGTTTGTAAATCCCAGGCCTTGAAGATGATCTCAATAAAGATCGAAACGTTGGCACGATAAAGAAAATGTTCTTCTGAAACCTACATCACACCAGTCTGCATCTCACGATTTCTGAATAATTATCGATTAACAGTCACTAATCACCATACATTGTTAATTATTGTATTAGTAGTTATTTTTAAACTGTTGGAAATAGTAAATATTTGGTTTTATTTTCATCATTATATGCTTATTCTTCTTGACTGTGACATATATTGACTGCCCAGTAAACTGCATCTTTGATTACATTAATTTTTTCCTTATACTTTTGTAAGCAGACGACGGCGTGGTGGCCAAATTATCTCTCGATATTCGCTTGCTTTTCTCTAAGCGACAAGAGATTAGTTGGCGTAAGCGCATCACTACTTATTCTTGTGTAGGGGAAGGTAAGGTTCCAGAATTCAATAAACCAGAGAGCATATTCAGTAACATTTATTGTACGCAATTCCTTCTCTTAACCGTACCCAAACCTCAGAATCTTAATCAATCTGCAAGTCAGCCACAACTCTAAATCTGGGATGAGTCTATCAACAAAGGGACTTACTCCAAACGACAGCCACGATTAGTGTCCACAGCATCTTTTCTCTTGACCGTTGACTTGGCTCAATGGGTCGCAAAGGCTGGTCCTCGCTGGCTCTGGCTGGCTGAGTCCTCTTGTTGAATCCCAGACGGAGTGTGGCTGCTTCTCTTCCGGACCCACTCCTGGAGTCGACCGTCCTTGGTCTTGACGGCCTGGGAGTATGTCTCTGGTTTAATCTGCCTGGAGTGAGTCTTTGATTTTGACTGACTTTTGATTTCCCAGTCATCCCTTTTATAGCGGGTCTCTCCGGAGTAGGAGTGGAAGAAAGGAAACTCAAAAGTCGGGGGTGGGCCAGCGAAGACGGGTGTCGAGCACAGGGTTGATGTGTCCCCCGTGGCTACGGATTTTTGACCAGGTGACAACCCTTCAGCATTAAATAACTAGACGATAGTTATTTATCGGTTGTCCAGCTATTGCTACTTTATGTTCTCCAGGTTCGTGGGTCCAGCCTGGGTCTGCCACACACTTCGACGTTCTTATCTATCTGTTTACCTGGTTAACCATTTCCAAGCTCTGACAGGTGGTCACCCCTTCAGAGTTGCAACCTTTGTTCCCGTTCATCGTTTACCCTATTATGCTCTTATTTTAACAACTAAAACTTGTCGCTAAGACGGGGACCGGCTTACACTTTATATATATTTATATTTATTCCTTAATTTTCTTTATAACTAATAATGAATGATAATAATAATTACCAGACCTGGAATGAAAAGTTTACTGTTTTTACACAACATGAAATATTTTTTTTTTTTTTAGGAGTTGATCTTTTTCCAATAAAACCCATTCCTGGGTGTGTTTCTTTGATCGGTGACATAACAACTGACAAATGTCGTCATGACATTGCGAAGGAGCTGCAGACATGGAAAGCCGATGTCGTACTAAATGACGGTGCTCCGAATGTCGGTATGTATTAAACAAATAGAAATAAATTTTTCCAATAGTTCAAACATTTTTTTAAATCTTTAAAGGTCAGAATTGGCTTTATGACGCATATCAGCAAGCCTGTTTGACACTTGGTGCTTTGAAATTGGCCACGCATTTTTTGAAAGAGGGCGGCTGGTTTGTTACTAAAGTTTTCCGCTCGAAGGACTACAACCCTCTCCTCTGGGTTTTCAAGCAGCTTTTTAAAAAAGTTCGTACTTATTTTTCTTTTAGTATATTTTTGGTTTTACTGTATGATAATGTTTAATGTTATAGGTGCATGCCACAAAGCCTCAAGCATCTCGTAATGAATCGGCTGAAATTTTCGTCGTCTGCCAACACTACCTGGCGCCTGCGAAGCTTGACGAGCGCTTCCTCAATGCGAAATACGTTTTCAAAGAACTGGAGCTGGAACCGAGAAATAAATTTAATATTTTACATCCGGAGAAGCAGAAGAAAGCGAAAGCAGAAGGCTACTCCGAACTCCGAGGAATTTACCACACAGTTAAAGCGACCGAATTCATTAAGAGTGAAGATCATGTCGAACATCTGCAGTATGCTTCTTGTGTATGTTTTTTTATTTCTTTTAAAGAACTTTGCTTTTCTTAAAGTGGCACACTTAATCTGAAAGCTTGTTATTTTCAGGTTATTTTTGATGACCCTGAGATTCAAAACGATCCAGAAACAACTAATGAGATCAAAGAGTGTTGTAAGGACATCAAAGTGCTTGGAAGGAAAGACCTGAGGTCAATTCTGAACTGGGCAAAATCGATGAAGAAAAAATACTACCCGGAAGAGAAAAAACCGGAGGTGTTAGTGAAGGACGATGAAAATGAGGGCAAGAGTGAAATTGTGCTGTCTGAAGATGAACAAGAATTGAAAGACATTGACGACAAAATTAACGAACTTGAGGTAATTAAGTAAAAATTCTTCACTGCTAATAAGTTCAATTTTATAATATTAAGACAATTAGTAATATGCAAGAAATATTTACTAGAAAATGAAATTAGTTCTTGTGATATTAATGTAAGTTTTTAATATTTTTTTTTTTTTATCAGACCGAAGAGGCTCGGGAGTTGAGGAGGAAGAAAAAACGGGCAAACAAGGAACGCAGCAAACTACAGGAGAAGCTGAACCTAAAGATGATTGTGAAAGGAGATGATGGCCCTGTTGAGGAAGACACTATGGAACCACTTTTCAGCCTGGAACAGATTCAAACCAAAAAAGTCTGTCATTTTCTTAATATTCAATAAAATATAAAAAATGTTAGGAACTAAACAATTGCCTTTTCTAGGCGCTGGATATGGTGTCAGACCAACAGCCGAATGTCAAAGCGAACAGCGATTCTGAATATGATTCGGACGATGGTGTTGGCGCGTACCGCTCTAGCTACATCCCTTACGACAGTGAAAAGTCACATTTGGACAAATCTGGCAAATTTTATACAGAAGAATCTGATAAAAGTGATGAAGAAGACGAGAGTGATTACGACAGTGGCGAAGGCTTAGGTTAGTCCGTTGATTTATTCCATGGTTATGCTCAGTTTATTTTATCCGCTTCCTTGAATTTCAGGATTTGAAGAAGGCGATGAAAATGATAAAAACGCAAAAAAGAAAAAAGTACGATTTTCACTTGATGATAAGGATGAAGAAAGCAGTGATGATGATAAAGAAAGCAATCCTTTACTCACTGATCTAGATCCGAGAGATAGGGAGACCAAGAGGCTTCAAAAAGCACAACTTTGGTTCCAGAAGGTAATTATCCAAAATTGTCCATTTTGAAATTTGCTAATTTAACATTAACAGAAAATTCTCTTCCATTTTTGTGTCTTAAGGATATTTTTAAAGGACTCGAGAAGGGTGAAGATGAGGAATTTGAACTGGAGCAGATGGCAGAGTCTATAATTAAAAAGGGAGGAAATATTATTGGAAAAGACGTTAAACAGGAAAATGGAAAAGAAACAGAAGAGAAAAGCGAGGACGAATACTCCAATTCAGATTCTGAAGACGCGATGAGCGAAGATGATTCTGGTTTGGATCTTGAAAGTAGCCAGCCTCCAAGAAAGAAAACAAAAGTGCTTAAAGATGACGAATTTGAAGTTGTACCAAAAGGTATTCAGTGAATTTTAGTTATATTTATAAATATATACAACAAATAAAAAATTGTAGGTAAAAAAAATAAAAAGAAGGAAAAGCTCTCAGAACGAGAATTGGCTTTGGGATCGATGATGGTGGTGTCGAAGAAGGCCAAGAGGGACTTGATAGATGGAGGGTGGAACAGATACGCTTTCAATGATGAAAATCTCCCTGACTGGTTTGTCGAAGACGAAAAGAAATTCATGAAGAAGGAACTGCCCGTTCCGAAAGAACTGGAGGAAGAGTATCGTAAGAAATTCCAAGAGATCAACTCTCGTCCAATCAAAAAGGTAATCGAGGCCAAGGCAAGGAAGAAAAAGAGGGCTCTCAAGAAGATGGAACGTGCCAAGAAGAAGCTTGAAGGGCTCATGGAAAACCCAGACGTCTCAGAACGAGAAAAAGCCCGCCAGATAAAAAGGTAAATATGATTTATTTTTATTTAACCAATTTATTTTATTTTATTTTTTTTAAAGGTTATACAAAAAAGCAAAGGAGCCGAAGAAGGAAACAACATACGTAGTCGCGAAGAAACATACTTCAGCCAAACGTATGAGGAGGCCACCCGGAGTTAAAGGCAACTACAAAGTAGTCGATCCAAGGTTGAAAAAAGACACCAGGGCGAAACTCGCCTCAGCGAAAAAAGGGATGAAAGGGGCCAAAGGGAAAAAAGGAAAAGGCAGATAATTGTAAATGTAAGTTTCAAAATATCTCTCGCTTCTTAAATGTGATGTTGAGGCCAGTCTTACAATTTTTGTCATCTCAATAGAGATTAACCCATTCAACCCAGGACTGAAATCAATGACCGTCACCCAGCTGGATTTTTTTTTTTTCATGAAACTGTATAGATTGATTGCTTTTATGTTCTAATTAATAGCAAATAATGTTTTTGACTCATTTAGACCGCGACTCCACACTGGGAGTCAAATTGTCCATTCGTGTGATCGGTGAAACATTCAATTTACTGAATTTACCCACATTTATGAGTAGTTGAGTTTTTACTTGTATGGAAGTGACAAGATTTGACAAGTAGAGTGCATTTTTTCATTAGTTAAGAAAACAACAGACTTGGCTGAAATAAATTCTAAAACTCTGAAATACACAAAAGCTCACAAACTAGATATGCCCTCATGGCTTAGACTGAGAACTTATTTACTTCTCCCCCTATGGATAGAAATACTTTTTTTTAAGAACTGATTTTTCATGAAAATTATTTTAAAACATATTAAATTTGTGCTTTTTCAGATCTTCCAGGCTGATCAATTCGATGAAATTTTAACTGTGTACATAATTATTAATTTTACATATTTATGTAAATACATTAATTTTATAACAAAAAAACTCTCATGATTTTTTCTATTTCCCCTTCCCTGATAATTTAATATAAACAAAAATCTAGTCTATAAACCATGGTTGTCTGGGCCAAAGCGAACTCACCTTGACACTTGGAGGGGAAAAAAATACTTATTAACTTGTCAAGTATTTTCTATTACATTGTTTCATCTTAAATAAACAAGATACTATTGCATTATTTCTTTGAAAAAAAAAAGTATATATATAAATTATTGATAATTATTCGAAATCTTCCTTTTTAAAAACGATAACCTCAAAAGACGAATAAGAGTACTTCCATCACTTCCTGATACACTCCACGATCTTGAAAGGACTCTTCGTGATGAATCGGGCAGTGACATTTCCAGACCGGTAGAAAGTAGTCTTTTTTAGACAAAGACTGAATTATTAAACGTTAAAAAACGTGGAACTTTGATTAATGTATAAAAATATATACAAATCAAGTTATATTATAAGTGGGAGGAATTTTTTGCCGTCAGAGTATATATTTTTTTCCTTTTTTAACTGACATCAGCTTCACAAAATTCAATATGACTGTATTTTCTATAACATTCATGGTAAGTGATCACTGATCAGTTTTCGTCCTATCGTTAAAATGTTTTTTTTTTTACGGTGTATATACAACTTCAACGATGCTACGTTTTCTGGGAATTCTATACATCCTAATCTATAATCAAAAGTTAATACAATTGAAGCTTTTAATCTTGTAATGAAATTTTAAGTAGGAAAAAATACTTTAATACCAACTATGTTTTTAATAATGTGCATTTACCCACTAATTTACTCACTCAACACAATTACTAGGCAGTTGTAAATTCTAATTTACTTGGCCACTGACTAATTCACTCATTCAATAGCTAAACTACTAATTTTCTTACTCATACACTAGCCAATCAACTCACTCATTCACTTTGACACTGACTAACTCCCTCATTCAATAACTAAACTACAAACGTTCTTACTTATACACTAGCCAATCAACTAACTCACTTGGACACTGACTAACTCAATCACTCACTGGCCAACTAAAATTCACTCAGTCCTTGACTAACTCATTTATTCACTGGACAATTTATTCATTTAATCATTTGATATTTATTATTATGTTAAACTTTATATTTTGTGTTGCTTTTTTAAAAATACAAATAGTCCCAGATTTTTAAGATAAAAATTGTAATGTTTCAGGCAATAAATTGGGATATACTATAAAATTTTAATTTCTTTGTGTCCATATTTTTCTTGAAAAGTGATTATTTTTCTTATGTTTGAAATATAAAAATTAAAGAAATGGAAGACTTTATAATCTTAGCAAATCTTACAGTCAAATAAATAATAGGAAATGCTTTATGTGAGTGACTGTCAGGTCTAAATAAATAGTAATTTTTGGTACTGCAGTTTGCAGTTTATATATATATTATGCGCACGGTAGGAAGGGCTTGATAATTGGTTTAAAACAGTTGAAAGAAAATTACAGCCTTTGATCCCGTTAGAAAATTGTCAGGTTTCTGTTTGATCATCTTAAATGGAAACCATTGTGTTTCAACTGAAGGGCTAAATTAGAGTGCTGAACGTTAACAGCCTTGGAGTAACTCGATCCGATTATCAGTTGGACTATTTTTGCAGATGCCCTTGGATGAAACATAAACTGCCTTTGTCAGTACAACTACAATCAAGTTAAAATATACAGTCGCATAACCAATTTTGTCGTTGGACAGTTAATGCAATAGTTACAGTAGTTAAGTATCTGGAAATATTTTATGTTAATTTTTAAATTTGAATTTGTCTTAAAGGTTAAAAAAAATTATAGTTACTGTTTTAACTATGGAAAGCAATGACAATACATATTTAAAAAAAGCTAAAAAAAATTAGGTAAGATTATAAAATCTTCCATTTCTTAAATTTTTATATTTTAAACATACAAAAAATAATCACTTTTCAAGAAAGTCTTAAAGAAATTAACTGCTTATTTTTTAACAAGATAAAATAAAATTTATTTCGCTATATAAACTATTTTCATTGTTAAAAACAATATTTTTGTTATTATAACACTACAAAGTTAATTATAAAACCTCCATCTTGTCCGGCCTTTTGAATTGGAACAAACTGTTCATTAAGATGTAATTTTTATCTTAAAAATCTGGGACTATTTTTAGTTTTAAAAAAAGCAACACAAAATATGAAGTTTAACATAGTAGTATTGATCAAATGATTAAATGAATAAGTTGCTCAGTGAATAAATGAGTTAGTCAGTGACTGAGTGAATTTTAGTTGGCTAGTGATTGAGTTAGTCAGTGACCAAGTGAGTTAGTTGATTGGCTAGTGTATTAGTAAGAAAGTTTGTGGTTTAGTTATTGAATGAGGGAGTTAGTCAGTGTCAAAGTGAATAAGTGACTTGATTGGCTAGTGTATGAGTAAGAAAGTTAGTAGTTTAGTTATTGAATGAGTGAATTAGTCAGTGACCAAGTAAATTGGTTGGTATTAACGTATTTTTTCTTACTTAAAAACACATTTCAAGATTAAAAGCGTCAATTGTATTAAGTTTTAATTATAGATTGGATGTATATAATTCCCAGAAAACGTAGTATCGTTAAAGTTGTATATACACCGTAAAAAAAATATTTTAACGGTTGGACGAAAACTGATCAGTGATCACTAACCATGAATGTTATAGAAAATACAGTCATATTGAATTTTGTGAAGCTGTCAGTTAAAAAAGGAAAAATATATACTCTGACGGCAAAAAATTTCTCCCACTTATAATATAACTTGATTTGTATATATTTTTATATATTAATCAAAGTTCCACGTTTTTTAACGTTTGATAATTCAGTCTTGGTCTAAAAAAGACTAGTTTCTACCGGTCTGGAAATGTCTTTGCCCGATTCATCATGAAGAGTCGTTTCAAGATCGTGGAGCGTACGAGGAAGTGATGGAAGTACTCTTATTCGTCTTTTGAGGTTATCCCATAAATGTTCGATGGAGTTCAAGTCTGGAGAACGGCGGCTAGGCTAAGACCATCTTATGCTGTTGAAGGTTTGTTTTGACTATACGAGCGACATGTGGATAAGCATTATCGTGCATTAGATTGTCGCTGATTTCATCGAGGATAGGCAACGCATGATGTTCCAAAATTTCATCCACATAGCGAGTGGCCGTCGAAGATCGTGCTGGAGATCGTAGAGCCAATCTACACTCATCTGTAAAACGGAGAGCAGAGCAATCGTCCAAAGACCAATGGCTGTGTTTTCGAGCAATTGAGAGCTGTGCACCAATTGCGGTGTGTTCTAGTCAATTCTGGTCGTCTTACGCCCCGACGGAAAAGCCATCCGTCCATACTGCTTTAATCTTTTTCGAGCAGTGCGTTTAGAAGTTTGGACACTTCAAACTTCCTGGAGCTGATTAATCGCTTAAACAACAGTTGGTAGTTCTGCTTCTATGGTAACAACCAGTTGCTAGAAAACGTCTAACGGCGTCTCCCAGTGTTTTGCAGGGAACTCCGATGACAATAGCCACACACCCGATGGAACGCCCATCATCACGCGCAACATCCTCAGCACTAAGTGGCATTTTTAAGTATAAAAATTACAATTAAGAAAACAAAGATAAAATCTAAACTGTTTATTGCTTCACAATTCCAATGAGATTGTCAAGCATTTTAAATTCCGTAAAAAGTAAACATTGAAAAATCCTTTATCCTTGTTTTGGATTATGGATTAAGTGTGCTTGTCTCTAATTAATTAAAATATGGCATAAACAAATATTTATTGGTAAAAATAATGAGACAAATTAAGGGCAAATTTTCTGTTATCGAGAAAATGAAAAAAAAAAAAAAAAAATCAATTGGGTGGAATTTTTTGCCTGTCAGTGTATATATTTATATGTATTTATAATGCTGAGTGTTGCTTATCATATCGTCTGGGAAGGTCAAGGGAAACGTTCGAAGGCCTTGTAGCTGTGCTGGGAGTCACGTCGGCAAAATAATCCGAAGCTGTTATCGATAAAAAGTGGCCCTCGACTGTTTCCCAGAAGGGGTCAATTTGACACTGAAACCCTAAACTAAACCGCTTTGGATACAAGGTCAAAAATGACCACGGCGGAAGACGAGACCGGCGACACGTGGGAACGGCCGTTTACGTCTATGTTCTCTCTTAAGGCGGGCCTTTACAAAAATAACAAAATTACACTCCTAGATAATTAATTAAAATAATGGAGATGTTGCAGGAGTGAGGATTGACAGGAGTTGATTAAATGTCAAAGCAAGTATCCTTTAGCCGGGACATCTTGGCAAGAGAAAAATAAATAAAACGAAAATAAATTTCTGCTTCAAATCCTAAATTTATATGAAAACAAATACACATCGATCTAAACTTTTTATGTTGGAGAGCTTATAGCTAAATTGTGTTGTTGGTGAAACATTAATTGAGTTAGATAGTGAGAGAATCAGTTATTAAGTGAGTATGTGCATGAGTGATTGAGTGACTGAGTGAATGAATTAGTTGTACGTGAGTGAAAACATAGGTTGAGTTAGTTAGTAAGTTGGTCAGTGATTTGGTAAGTTAGCTAATTACTTGCTTCTGTAAGTGAGTTAATGGGTGAGTGTTCGTGCAGGAGTGCGTGTGTATGGTTGTGGGTTGGCAGTAGACGATTGAATGTATGAGTACGTTGGTTAGTCAGTGACCAAGTGAATGAGTGAATTAATTAGTTGGTTACTTATTAAATGTGAGTTAGTGAGTGAACAAATGAGTGAGTTAATCAGCGACCCAGGGAGTGCGTGATTTGATTAGTTGATTGGATGGGGTTTGAGTGAGTTAGAGGGTGAGGGTTTGTGTGAGTGTTAGTTAGTCGGTTTGTCAGTGAGTTAGTTAGGTAGTTGATTGGTTGGTGCATGAGCGAGTTAGTTATTTAGTGGTTGAATAAGTGAGTTAGAAGGTGAAGGTGTTTTCCGTCATACAAGTAACCATGACAAGAGGTAGTTTATTTTT